CCTCGCCCCGCACCATAGACACTGCCTCAGCCAGGGCAACGGCGGCCTCGCCCCGCACCATAGACACTGCCTCAGCCAGGGCAACGGCGGCCTCGCCCCGCACCATAGACACAGCCTCAGCCAGGGCAACGGCGGCCTCGCCCGCACCATAGACACAGCCTCAGCCAGGGCAACGTCTGCTTCGCCCCGCACCATAGACACAGCTCGCCCCGCACCATAGACACAGCCTCAGCCAGGGCAACGGCGGCCTCGCCCCGCACCATAGACACAGCCTCAGCCAGGGCAACGGCGGCCTCGCCCCGCACCATAGACACAGCCTCAGCCAGGGCAACGCGGCCTCGCCCCGCACCATAGACACTGCCTCAGCCAGGGCAACGGCGGCCTCGCCCCGCACCATAGACACAGCCTCAGCCAGGGCAACGACTGCTTCGCCCCGCACCATAGACACAGCCTCAGCCAGGGCAACGGCGGCCTCGCCCCGCACCATAGACACTGCCTCAGCCAGGGCAACGACTGCTTCGCCCCGCACCATAGACACAGCCTCAGCCAGGCAACGGCGGCCTCGCCCCGCACCATAGACACTGCCTCAGCCAGGGCAACGACTGCTTCGCCCCGCACCATAGACACTGCCTCAGCCAGGGCAACGGCGGCCTCGCCCCGCACCATAGACACAGCCTCAGCCAGGGCAACGGCGGCCTCGCCCCGCACCATAGACACAGCCTCAGCCAGGGCAACGGCGGCCTCGCCCCGCACCATAGACACTGCCTCAGCCAGGGCAACGGCGGCCTCGCCCCGCACCATAGACACAGCCTCAGCCAGGGCAACGACGCTCGCCCCGCACCATAGACACAGCCTCAGCCAGGGCAACGCGGCTCGCCCCGCACCATAGACACTGCCTCAGCCAGGGCAACGGCGGCCTCGCCCCGCACCATAGACACTGCCTCAGCCAGGCAACGACTGCTTCGCCCCGCACCATAGACACTGCCTCAGCCAGGGCAACGGCGGCCTCGCCCCCACCATAGACACTGCCTCAGCCAGGGCAACGACTGCTTCGCCCCCACCAAGACACTCCTCAGCCAGGGCAACGCTGCTCGCCCGCACCATAGACACTGCCTCAGCCAGGGCAACGGCGGCCTCGCCCCGCACCATAGACAGCCTCAGCCACGCGCTTCGCCCCGCACCATAGACACTGCCTCAGCCAGGGCAACGGCGGCCTCGCCCCGCACCATAGACACGCCTCAGCCAGGGCAACGGCGGCCTCGCCCCGCACCATAGACACTGCCTCAGCCAGGGCAACGGCGGCCTCGCCCCGCACCATAGACACAGCCTCAGCCAGGGCAACGTCTGCTTCGCCCCGCACCATAGACACAGCCTCAGCCAGGGCAACGACAGCCTCGCCCCGCACCGGAGGCGCAGCCACTTTTAGCGCCTGCTGCCCGCTAACCCCCTCCCCACTATCATCCACAGCAGGTCCCGCTGCAAGCTGTCTGTGAGGACACATTATTTTCTTATGACCCACATCTCCACACTCAAAACATTTCATGTTCCCAGAACTAGCATACACCGTGTAGAGCCCTTCTTCACAGGGTGGCTGTAGCTCAGGTGGCAGAGCGGATCAGCCACTAACCAGAAGGTCGGTAGTTTGATCCCAGGCTGCTCCAGTCTGCATGCCAAATATCCTTGGGCAAGATACTAACCCATGTTGCTCTCCGATGCATCCATCGGAGTGTGAATGTTAGATACTTAGCACTTAAGCTTAGAAGTGCTTGTGTGAATGGGTGTGATTGGGAATGAATTAGCTATATAAAGCACTTTGAGTGCTCGGACAGAGTAGAAAAGCTCTATATAAGAACCAGTCCATTTACCATTCATGTTTGACACGGAAGGAGACATCCAGTGTCTGTGTCTAAAAACATGAACACTTGCCTCCGAAGGGACTGAACATGCTTTAATCTGTCCCACTTATAATCTCAGTCTCTAGCCTCTTGAGCTCTCGTTCTAAGTCCTCAAAGCAGTCTTTAACAGTGGCCGTTGCATGTGATGTGTACTGGTGACAAAAAAGCTTAATCTGTGTTTCCCCACCTCCCACCATTGAGCCAAATTGCAAAAGTCCATCTTCCTTAGTTTCCAGTGGCACCAGAAGTCAGAAAAAGCTCGACAGAACTCTTTGTCATGAATCAGCAGCACGTTAAAGCGCCAGTGCGAACCGATGTTAGAATGCATCAATAAGGAAATATCTGCAGTCACTAAGTGATGATCAGAAAAACCAACAGGTGAGATCTCTGCTTTAACCAGTCTATTATCATACATCTGGTTGACATATAATCTATCAAGCCCAGCTGCCTTCACATTGCTCTCAGAAACCTTTACATATGTATACTGTCTGGTTTTAGGATGGAGCTTTCTCCACACATCAGTCAAATCATTCTGAAGAACGATTGTAGACAAAAGTGAGCCCGAAGGTGGGTGAGGCTCTCCTGTGTTGCTGTCAACCGAAGGGTGGGTTGTGCAATTCCAGTTTTTGGCCATATCGCCCTGCTCTACTAGATACAATTTGTTACTTTTCATATTCTATATTTATTAAGTTTTGCAGGATTGTTTGCACAACAAGGCTAAATAATTATATAAACGTTTCTCAATCTAAATAGTCTACTATCATCTAGTTCTGATTCTGGTTCTGTCTTGGTTAAATCCTCAGTAGTCCTGATTTTGAACTGTTGCAATCCTGTTTTAATTCCGGATCAGTTCTGGGTCTGGTTGAATTGGGGTTTAGTCCCTGTGTCTTGACACAGCCCTGACTAGGGATGGGTATCGTTTAGGTTTTATCTGATACCAGTACCAAACCGGTACTTTTGAAACGGTGCCGGTGCTTAAACGGTGCTTAAATAATGGAGAACACAAACTTTGTCCAAAAAAAAAAAAAAAAAAAAAAAAAAAAAAAAAAAAAACTTTGTCCAAAAACCTCTCATGTTTAGCTATTTCCGTCTTTTTCTTTGGTCATTTTAGCCATCATGGCACCGGATACCAGTACCCATCCCTAGCCCTGACTTTGTTCTGACTTGCTGCTTAATTAAAAAACTAGTTTAAGGTGTCCTGCATATGTGATATATATTTTTTCCTATATGAAGTCATTCTTTTTTGAACAAAACTCATAACTCAGCCTAATAAATCTTTCAGTCACCCTCCCCCTGCATACTACCCTTTGGGGCTAAGCCCCGGGTGTATAAAATGTCTGGCTCCGCCTCTGGAGTCAACAGTATCCATGACACACAACGTAGCGTTCGATAATGTGTCATTTCAAAAGCGTCAGCTCTAAGAGCCGTGCTTACAGAGCGCTTTGTAGTGAATCAGAAGAGTCGACTCCCACTGAGCGAGAGCCGGCTACATTTCCTTTGGCTGCTCAGCTCTCACACAGGGGCTCAGCTATGCTCCATCTGGCTGCACAACGATTATTTGATAGTCACATTATTTTGCGATTCGCTATCAGTCATCTCCATTACTAACACAGCAGCAGCATCTGCTTACAGCTTAAGTGTTGTCTCCTAAAGACAGATGTTTATTAAATTTTTATGAAGTTTGCAGATTGTTTTGGTGAAGTTTAATAAACTCCTTGCTATCTAAACTATAACAGGACACCGGAGTAAATTCTGGAGCATCTCACACTTCTGATAATCAGCTGTCTGCTTGACGTTTATTCAGCTGTGTAAAAACTATAACTTTAATCTCAGACAAACAGATTTACTCAGGAACAAATAAAATACTGAAAAAAGCCAAACAACAACATTTTAAGTTATCTAAGTGACTCATATATCATGTTTAACCTGAGTAGCGAAAGACAGCGGTGGGTTTGAAAACGATTTGTGGGGAGTCCGGTGTTCTCAGGGCACTAGTGACCTAGCCCCCGGCTCGCTAACGAGCTAGTGGGTAACAGACGTCTCCGAAAACGTCGGAGCGCTTTTGAAATATGCGGTGTCCTGATAAACTGAGCAGATATTTGAGGTTTACACAGCTACATTCTCGCCTGAAAATATGTTAAACGTTTATTTTGTGACCCAGAAAGAATAATAAGAGTAATATTAAAACTAACTAGCTGCCGCCATTGTTGGAAACTGCGCTGGGGCCGCGCTATGAATTCTGGGACACAGCTGCTTCTTCTTCTTCGGGTTTAACGGCAGCTGACATCCTTGTACATGCAGTGCTGCCATCTTCTGTTTCAGTCCGTTTATACACTCTTAAATCCTGCTACTTATTCCTGCGTCTTTTGTGATCTTACAAAGCTTCAAACGACGCGTCGACTATTAAATCAGTCGTCGACGATTTTGATAGTCGACGTAATCGTGACTAGTTGACAAATCGTGGCAGCCCTACTCCAATCCCTCCATATTGTGGCCAATCACATGCGAGGATATAGGATAATATCATTATGTGAAACACAGAGAGGGGGATGGACGCGACAGTCAAGTGGAGCGTGCGTCGGTCCTCTCAGTGGGTGAGACAGTGGACAGCGGTGAGGAGGGCTGTGCGTCGCAGAAACACATAAATATGCCTGACACCCGTAAACAAAGCAGCATCTGGCTGCAGTTTAAAGACTTCTCGGTCTCGATACACTCTGGTCTCGGTCTGGGTTTAGGTGCTCTTGACTACAAGTCTAGTGCGTTCTAACAAACATCGTCTCTACTGCACGAGGCTGTAACATAACCCTGCATCTGCCTGTCAGGGTTAGCAGCTTTCTGCTGCATGTGTTCACACTCTTACACTGAGCACCGCACTGTGTTTGTGAGCTAAAAGACAAACCGTTTGCTTTCTTGTTATTCAAGCCGATCCTGAAGTAAGACTTGACTATGTCAGAGGGAACAGCGACTGTGCCGGTTTGTCTTTAAACAGCTGTCATCTTTTTCCTTAATGTAACACTTCTTCACACACATGCGAGTCTGCCAGCTAGCTACAGCTGCTAAACATGTAGACCTGAACAAAGGTGAGCAGTGGTGATGTGCTCCCACCCAGAGGTGCAGTCCTGTGGGATCCACAGCTGAGGCAGTAGTTGCGGCTCATCAGCCCCCGTTCACACAGGGAGTCCACCTGCTCGTCGTCGTACAGGAAGCCATCCACGTGAACCGTCGGCCGTGACCGCCGCTGCATCTGGAACACGTACCAAAGCTTCCTCGTCATCCTCATCATCACCACACCTCTCTCCATTAACATCATGAAGCTCAGACCTGTCTCCACTAACACTGCCTCGTTCTACCAACACAGTGTCCTCCTTATGTGAGTGTCCGAGTGCCGTTATGATCAGACGTACGCAGCAGGCGCACAAACACGAAATCAAAAACTGAAATATAATGGCTCAATATTTTTAAACTTCAGAAAGGTTTGAAAATGTTTGTAAGCCCCAAAAAATATGCCGTTATTTCTGTGCCACTATTCTGAGCGCACGTAAAAAAGTTTGCAGGTGCAAGTGTTGTATGAAGAGAAATTTAATTTGAGCGAAGAAAAGCTGAATTTGAGTGAACAAACTTCATTCCTGCGTGCAAAAAATGTATTTCAGTGTTTGCTATTATCCACACACACACACACACACACACACACACAACAGCAGCCCCTCTCGCTCAGTTTTTGCGCTCGCTCTCAATGTGTTGCTTGCACTCTCAACATTTCTGCCCGTGCGCGCTCAACTCTTTCTCTACACCGTTATATTTGTGCCACAAAACCAGCCAATCACAGACTTGGATGCAAAAAAATATGATTGGCTGTTCTGGTCTCCAATCAGCTTAAAGTGACGAAATGCAATATCCCAGAAACCATTTCGTCCAAAACGAGGCAGTGGTGGAGGAACACAGAGGGGCGGAGTTTGAAATATTACTCTGTCTGAGTCACAAAATAAACTTTAAAGATATTTTCATGTGAGAATGTTTCTGTGTAAACTTCAAACACCTGCTCGATTCATCAGGACATCACATATTTGCATAAGTGCTCTAACGTTTTCGGAGCTGCCTGTTACCCACCAGCTGACCATTGGGCATACCGGACATTTGCTCAGTGGGCTGATGGTGATTTTTCATTTTTATGTTTGTTTGTTTGTTTTTGTAACGGTATAAACAATGAAAGGTGGTGGATTAGCCAATCATGATCAACTCTGGGCTGGACCAATTACAAGACATCCGTATTGAAGGGAAAAGGAACAGTTTGTCCCGGACTTCAGCTACAATGAAAAAGACACAAAGCTGCAGTTATTCTGTCGTTATGCTGCACAGCTGCCTCTTCTTCTCTCATTCTCCCCCCTCCCTCTCCTGTTTCTACTTCAATCATGAAACTGATCAATGATCAGCTGATCGGCTCTCTTGTTTATCTCCCACTTTGTGCCAGAAAGAGGAAACCAGCGGATGTCGCGCTAAACAACAGCAGCACGTTTAAGCTTGATCAGCTGTTGTTAGAATTTATTTAATATTAATTTCTAGTATCAGCTGATGTTTGCTGGAGCCACAGCTGTAAAGCTGCTGGTCATGATGTCGGTTTGGAAACATGAAGGTGATACAAATCATACATATATACCAACAACAGTGTGCATCACTGTCACAACAGCGTTTTAGTTCAAAGGCTTTATGGTTTTTTCATGGTGTTTTGTCAGTTCAGCCTTTTATATTATGTTTAACCCGAGTGACCCGGTCAGCTGGTAACAGGCATCTCCGAAAACGTCAGAGCACTTATGCAAATATGTGATGTCCTGATGAATCGAGCAGGTATTTGAAGTTTACACAGAAACATTCTCGCATGAAAATATCTTTAAAGTTTATTTTGTGACTCAGACAGAGTAATATTTCAAACTCCGCCCCTCTGTGTTCCTCCGCCACTGCCTCGTTTGAGTTTTGGACGAAATGGTTTCTGGGATATTGCATTTCGTCACTTCGAGCTGATTGGAGACCAGAACAGCCAATCAGGTTTTTTTGCATCCAAGTCTGTTGAGAGCGCGAGAAACACATTGCGAGCGATTGAAAATGCAAAAACTGAGCGAGAGGGGCTGCTGGTGTGTGTGTGTGTGTGTGTGTGTGTGTGTGTGTGTGTGTGTGTGGATAATAGCAAACACTGAAATACTTTTTTTGCACGCAGCAATGAGTTTTGTTCACTCAAATTCAGCTTTTCTTTGCTCAAAATAAATTTCTCCTCGAAATACAACACTTGCACCTGCAAACTTTTTTTACGTGCGCTCAGAATAGTGGCACAAAAATAACGGCATAAAAAAACTGTATAAAAATATAATATGACTAAATATCTAATAGTGTTTTTATTTTAAGTCAAATAAATATTGAGGAAAAGCTTGAAGTAAAATGAAAGCTGCATATTAAACACAATGTGGGCGTGGCTCTGTAGTACAGTCATGTAAACATTGATGGAAGTTGTGTCACATTAAAAACACTTATTTGCCTCCAAAACTGAATTTTAAAAGGCCAAACAGAGCTGTGATTATTAGAAACAACAACAATAATAATAATAATAATAATAATAATGGAGTGCATTTATATAGCGCTTTACAATGCCACTGTTCATTCACTCTCACACACTGGTGGAGGCAGCTACAGGTGTAGCCACAGTCTGTCCCAGGGCAGCTGTGGCTACACCTGTAGCTGCCTCCAATCACTGTAAAGTAAATAAAGTAGTAACACCACTTTAATTATTAACTTATGAAGGTCATAATGAGCTTCTGATCACAAAGTGATGCAGGCGCACTGATCAGCAGTGTGCTCTGTAGTACCTGCTCAGTTCAGACACAGTACCTTACTGTAGGCAGCGGTCTCACAGGGCAGCATAGCATCGGGGGCCACATTTGCCCGCAGGTCCTCTGCAATACTCTGCAGCAGCACCCGCCCGTTATCTCCTAGCAGCTCGTCCTCCAGCTCATCTGCAAGAAGACACACACACACACACACACACACACACACACACACACACACTCCTGAGTAAAGGGGAAATGACGGCTCGGCGGTGACAGCATGCTGTCAGTCTGTGGGCTGCTCTGTCAGCATCAACGGAAGATGTAACAAACTCGTAAAACCCCGAAGCGTCCCACTCTGTATTACTCCTGAAGTGTGCGTGACCGTGGAAACAGCGCGACATGGTGACGACACAGTGAGGAGTCCCCCGCTGAAGCCGTGACCCACGAAGCCCACGCCACACGTGCAGCGTGTTTACCTGAGTTCTTCATCCAGCCCAGCAGCTGCGTGAGTTCAGCCGGCCTCAGCCTGCTCAGCAGCCGCTTCAGCTCTGATTTCGCTTCAGCCACGTTCATGTTCACGCTGGAAAACACGCAGGAAGCTGTCACAGGCGCTGCACGCCTCCGAGAAACGCCAAGCTTCTTCTTCTCTGGGTTTAATGGCGGTCTGCACGCGTTCACGCTGCACTACCGCCGCCTATCACGCTATGCAGTCATTGTCTGAAAGGCGTAAAACTGGCTTAAATAAAACTTAAATAAAGCCGTAAAACCCGTCAGTGCGTATGAACGAGCTTCTAGTCCCGCTGGGCACTGCTGGAGGTCTGTGCTGGAGGTCTGTGCTGGAGGTCCGTGTTTCCCTGACCGGACAGGTCCCGAGCAGCAGCCTGAGGACATGTCAGCCCAGCAGTGCCTGCCAGCACTCCTGCTGCAGCATTTGGCATAAACACAAGGTGATGATGATGAATGACAGTAGTCCAGGAGAAATGAACTGGTTTTTCAGCGACAGCATGTTTCTAATTCTAGAGATATTCTGCAAACACAAGAAATCATCCCAACATATTTGTTTAGTGGACACTTTGGGGGACATATCCAGGCAAACACACTGGCATCCTGTACTTGAGTAGACGTATAGACACCATTGTTTAAAAATACTCTGCTGAAAGCTAAAGTACTGATTCAACTTCTTTACTTAAAGGTGGAGACGGATGTGTTCCTGATGCTTTTTCTCAGCAGCTGATCAGAGTCTCCTCCTCTGGTGTTCGTCCCCCTCCTTTCTTTCTTTCCTGTCCCCTGGTCCTGTCGGGTTCTGATTGCAATACCTCAAAATGAAAAAATGAATAAATTCGTACATTTACAATAATAATAATAAAATATGACAGTCAAGTGGAAGCTGTATTAGTCTGCTTGGGAAAATAAATCTGTTCTGGTCTTTTTTCGGCCTTCGGACAATAATTCTGATTGTTACAGTGACAGGGGGAATAAAAGAGTAGCAGTAGTAATCCAAAAAATAAAGACATTTAATAAAACAAAAGAGGAGAGCGAAGTGATGCAGTCAGTCCTTCCAGCTGTCACCATCAGGCCACAGTCTCCCGCTGACAGACAGACGGAGAGATGCTTTCAAGCAACACAGCACTGCAAGCTGCAACTTCACGCAGCTCTCCTATTTATTTATTTATTTATTTATTCATTTATTCATTTATTCAACAATTTCTACAACTGACGTATGTAAAACTGGCCCAATCCTATTTGATGTCACATTCAGGTGCGCTCGGAAATCTCTGTTCAAGCATTGGTAGGAGAAACCAGACTACAGAAATCATTTTCTGGAAACGAAAACAAGAAAATGATCCTAAAAACCAAACCTGATGTTTATATTTTTGTTTGCTTTGTATTTTGAACATATTTTGTTCGTGCTGTAGTTTCAGAGTGGCTGTCATCAGAGCAGGTCGTCTGCTGATTGGCAGGTGGTTTCACCTCCAGTCTGAATGCTAAAGCTTTTGGGCATCACATTATCATTAGACAGAAAGCACCTACGCAGAGAATAAAAGGGCTTCATGGACGAGTCGTGTTACAGCGCTTTGAGTGGCTACAATAGAAATGCGCTACATTATAGCCGCTCCATTCACCATATTCACCTTTCTGTGAGCTGGCCCAGTTGGCTTACAGAGGGTCACTTTAAATAGACCATTTAAAGTGTGTGCTGGCACAGCTGAACGCCAATGAAACACGTATTGGTTCAAATACTCTACTGACTCCTTTAAAAAGCAGCTGAAGACATTTTTATACAAACGGGCTTTTAACTAATTTAATTAATTTTAACTTGTATGTCTGATCTTACTGTAAAGCACTTTGTGATTTTTATCTGTGAAATGTGCTATATAAATAAATTTTACTTACTTTTTACTTACTTAAATAATTGGGACAGTTTGGATGTTCGTCTGTCCCACTGTCTGTGAACGTCGCACAGACTGAAGCGTGTCTGCAGCTCTTCCATCAGTAACCGGACTAGGCCGACATGAACACGGAGGAGACCAACGTAGAGATGAAGGATGCTGAGCACAAGGACGAGGCGGGTCCCGCTCAGGTGGATGCTGATGCCACGGAGGCCGATGTGAGCGAGGCAGATCTGGACCAGGAGGAGCAGGAGAAGCAGCCGATGACGGGAGGAGACCAGGCCGCCGACACACCCTCTGCCAGCGGGCAGGAGGCACCGACGACGGCGGAGAAGAATGGCTTGGTAAAGCTGAAGATCCCCGACGAGGAGGAGGAGGTGAAATTCACTGGGCTGAACAAGGAGGAGCTGATGAGGGTGGCGGGCACCCCGGGGTGAGGAGGACACACTGTGCACACCCCTGCAGGGCGAGGCTCTGTCGTTCCTTTTATTTATTTATTTCTGCATGAGCGGACACCAGCATGCATCTCATGTAAACCTGTGACGCGTACAGTACTGCTGAGCCTGTCTCTGTGTTTGGATACGCAGGTAAACGTTGGTGGTTTGATGGAAGTGAAGAAGGCTGAGATCGCCTACAGTTCAACACTGTTTGGCAATGATAACAGCTTTTATTATAATGTCGGTTTTTCACACCGTGATTTTTAATCCAGATTCCAAAACACGTTTGAAGTCCACCTCACATTCAAATAAAAACACAATACTTACAAATAGCTGCACATCTCAAAAATGGACCATTCCCATCTCCAGAAACATCTGGGAACTAAGGAGGCCGACTGCTGGACTGCTTCTTTTTCATATTTTTAATCAGCTGGTGTATGAGATGTTTGAATTAGTCTGGTCTGCAGGCTTTTCTGCTGTAATAGATGCAGTTGAGCAGTGTCTCTTGGAAATAAGCCTGAATAAGATGCCATCTTCAGTAGAGCGTATGTTACTCTCCAAACCTAGTTAGATTATTTTTGCTTTGCACACAGAAACTAAAACGATTAGCTCCCCTGATGCTAACAGTCAGCTGAATATCTTGCTGTCATTTGCACATGTCGCCTGAGCAGTCACAGACCGTTGCCCACCCTTCCTTGGTTAATCTCTCAACTCCTCCATATTTGATGATCTTCTAGCATCGACTTTAGCCAAGGCAAGTTTATTTGTATAGCACAATTCAACAACAAGGTGATTCAAAGTGCTTTACAGAGACATTAGAAACAAAAACAAATAAAAAGCATGATTTAAAATTGATTAAAACAAGCAAACTAACTAACTAACTAATTAACAAACAAACAGATAAAATCAGTAGTTAAAATGTTAGTTTTGAAATCTAAGCTGAAAAGTGTGGATTTGGTGCTTTATTCAAGTGCAGCTGAGAACAGGTGAGTCTTCAACCTGGATTTAAATAAACTGAGTGTTTCAGCTGATCTGAGGCTTAAACACTTTGGTCAGAGCGGTTTCAGTGCTGTGGTTCTGTCTAAAACCTGACTGGAAGGCATCGTAGCAATTATTCTGTTTTAAGAAGTAACTGAGCTGTTGAGAAACTGCTTTTTCAATGATCTTACTTAAAAATGGGAGATTTGAGATCGGCCTGTAGTTGTTCATTTGTGTCTTGTCAAGATTGTCCTTTTTCAGTATAGGTTTGATTACAGCAGTTTTTAGTGATTCTGGAAACACACCTGATAATAAAGAAAAGTTGACGATCTGTAACAGGTCTGACTCTAAAGTCTTTGAGACCTTTTTGAAAAAACTTGTTGGCAGGACATCTAAACAGCAGGAGGAGGAGTTCAGTTTACCTAAGATGTCCTCCAGGTCTTTGCTGTTAATAGGTGTTTGATGGTGTTTAAACAGTTTTTCGGTGGACACAGTACATATCCTGGATCTGCTGTTGATGTACCAATTGCTTGTCTGATTTTTTGGATTTTTTCAGTGAAGAATTTGGCAAAGTCATTGCAGGCCATGGTCGAATGAAGTTCAGCTGCCACTGGCACAGGAGGGTTTGTTAGCCTGTCAACTGTAGAAAATAAGACCCGAGCATTATGGCTGTTTTTAGTGATGATGTCAGAGAAGTAGGACCTTCTTGCACTCCTCAGTTGTAAATTATAATTGTGAAGTTTCTCTTTATAAATGTCATAATGAACCGGGAGGTTTGTTTTTCTCCATCTGCGCTCAGCTTTCCTACACTCTCTTTTTTCATTTTTCACCAGTGTGGAGTTTCTCCATGGAGACTTTTTCCTTCCAGAGATAACCTTCACCTTAATGGGAGCAATAGTGTCCATTACATTTAACATGTTAGCATTGAAGCTATTGACGAGCTCATTGACTGACCCTCTGGGCAGGTCAGGTGTTAATGGGAAGACCTGGTTAAAGATCTCACTAATGTGTTCAGTTATGCACCGTTTTGTGATCACTGCTGTTGATATATTTGTGTGGGCTGAGATTTTACTTTCAAAGAAAAGACTTTAGTCATTTTCAGTGGGGTTCAAGTCAGAGCTTTGTACATGCTAGGGTTGGCATGATACTAAACCAGAAACAGAGTAAAAACTGTACCTCCGTGCAGCAGCCCCCTATGAACAAGCACTTTGGCGACAGTGGGAAGGAAAAACTCCCTTTGAACAGGAAGAAACTTCCAGCAGAACCAGGCTCAGGGAGGGGCGGGGCCATCTGCTGTGATTGGTTGGGGTGAGAGAAGGATAAAGACATGCTGTGGAAGAGAGACAGATTAATAACAGGTATGATTCAGAGCAGAGAGGTAGCTGCCAGCATCTGTAGGCCATCACTGCCATTGACCCTGCGACCGCAGCAATATGGTAGCGACCAAAGCAAACACAGCCAGCTGGAGACTACACATTTTTCCTGAGGGTTAAAATCAGTCCCTGTCTTGTCTTACAGTTTTAATAAGAGGAGGGAGGGACGCAGGTTCAAATCTACCAAGGACAGCAACAAAAGCAAAGATGTTTAATTGTTGCATTCTGTTAAACCACAAAAAAGACTCGGAGATGGACTGAAGGGAGTTAATTGTACTAAAAAGGACGCGAGATTTGTGGAAATATCAGAGAAATGCTTCGTTTTTTCACCTTTCACAGTTCTTTAGTTCTTCTGTGTTAATTAGTATGCTCCGATGCTGTTGTACATGATGATACCTCTATACATTTTTATGCAATATAAAAATGTTGTATCACAATGTCATTGCCATAGCAACACCATTATTATAATCCTGGTTTAATATCTCAGTTCAGTGCACAACATTTTAGTTTTTCTGTAACAACAATGTGCAGGCTCTCAAACCGTGACAAGCAAAGTAAACTGCAGAGATTTTTCTGTCTGACTCGTGCTGTGTCACTCTATGCTCCTCTGTTTTCTGATTCATATAGTGTCAGGGATGACAGCAGTGAGACCAGCTGTCAGATGATATTTGGAGACAGTGGCGTTGACCAAAAGACAGGATGCAGTACCGGAGTGTAAAGAACGTAAAGATTTCTGTCTTCGGCTGACAGCAGAGGGAAAGCTCAGGTTTGGAGAAAAGTTAAGAGAAATCAAGAAGAAGTGTAAGAATGTGAAAATATGAAACATGTAACACAGTAGTTAATACAGTACTTTATTTTAAATGTAGTATTCTTGACATTTGATCAAATCTTAGGAAGAAGTTAAAAGGGTTAAATGTTAAAAGTTCAGAAAAATGAGTTCGAGGCATTTGTTGGGCTAAACTGGTTCTTATATAGCGCTTTCCTACTGTCTGAGCACTCAAAGCGCTCTACACAACTAATTCCTTCACACCCGTTTACACAAGCACTTCTTCTAAGTTTAAGTATCTAACATTCACACACATTCACACTCCGATGGATGCATCGGAGAGCAACATGGGGTTAGTATCTTGCCCAAGGATATTTGGCATGCAGACACGAGCACCGGGATCGAACCACCGCCCTTCTGGTTGGTGGCTGATCTGCTCTGCCACCTGAGCTACAGCCACCCCCATCCCTGAGATGAAACAGTGCCCACAGCTGTCTGATAATTTTGCATGGCAACAATATCAACTGACGTGGGCTTTAGCAGATTTGTTTCACATATTTGAACACTTTGACCTTTACATGTTCTGGGTCTTTTGGCCAAGACGTGAAAATCGTCGAAGGCGTCACAAAGGAAACACAAACATTTCAGCATTCATAGCCGTGGTGCGTTTCCAGATTCACTTCAGTCGTCCAGAGAGTCACGTTTGGGTACCTGCAGGACGCAGAGCCTCGGCTCATTGATAATCCAGCCTTTTCCTGTTTCTCAGCTGGGTGAGGACCCGCTGGGCGCTGCTGGTGGTGTTCTGGCTCGGCTGGTTGGGGATGCTGGTGGGGGCCGTCCTCATCATCCTGCAGGCCCCTCGCTGCAAAGATCTGCCCAACACCAACTGGTGGAACGATGGGCCTCTGTACCAGATTGGAAACATCCAGGCTTTCACCGACACCCACAACCTGAAAGGTGAGTCCAAACGTAGATAGAGATCACACATAAATATCATCTTTGCATCATTCTCCACTAAATGTGTAACATGCAACATGCTCTGTCTGCAACTCCCTGCTCAGTTATCTGACCGTTTGCTGTGTTTTCTACAGTCAGATGTAAAATCAGGCAAACACAACGTCAGCAGCTGCTGAAGTATAAAAGAGTCACCACAAAGAACCATCACAACAGTAAACTACTGCTCCTCCTCACTGTGTGTGTTTCCACCTCAGGCCTGGAACAAAAGGTCAACAGTTTGGCTCAGCTGAAAGTCAAAGGGCTGGTGGTCGGGCCGATCCACGTGGCGCCTCCGGATGAAGCTGTGAACCTGAGCTTTGAGGAGATTTCCCCCGAGGCTGGAAACCTGGACCAGTTTAAGGGTTTCGTCCAGGCTGCTCATAAAAAGGGTCAGGGAGACAGCCTTCTACAGAAGCAGCAGTCTCATGATGTTTCACGTTTTATGTCCCATATCAGTGGGAGTCATGCTGACTACAGACCAGAATGAATGTTTCACTAAAATGCTCTGAAAAAGTCAAAGAGATCGACTCAAGTATATGAAGAACGACACCAAAGTACACATGTACTTACTGTAGTACATTTGCTCACCTGTGCAGGTGTTTTTGTGGTTCTGGATTTGACTCCAAACTACCTGGGCTCGTCCGGGCCCTGGTTCTCCAACAGCAGTGTGACGATTGTAGCAGAGAGACTGAAGGTGAGTGCTGATGTCACACACATGCTGCTGACTGCTGTTCAGCTAAATGTGCCAGAAATCTCAGTGCGCGGCAGTGAAGTCATTGTTGCTTCCAATATTAACATTAAAATCATTTGAATCCAGTTAAGTTATTATTCATTAAAAGCAGTCATCAGGTGGGTAACAGAAGTGACGAGTGTGTCCGTGTGCCTCAGTCTGCTCTGGTGTTCTGGCTGGACGAAGGCGTGGATGGCATCCAGCTGTCAGGGGTGGAGCGCGTGGCCACAGTGTTGCCGTCTCTTTGGAACGACATCCGAGCCATCGTGCAGAACAGGACGGACAAGCATCCCAACAGCAGGTGAGGAAAACAGTGCGCCTGGATGTCACCGAGTACTAGCAGAGATTTCATGAAGCAGGAGATGGCAGCAGCAGCAGGAAACCTGTAAAAGTGTTTACTATGCAAGTGTCCCTTTACTTTACGAAGCCGCTGGGTTGTTATTCCAACATAGCAGATGCAACAGCCCAACACTTCATGTGGCAAACACCTGCACATGAAAGTTCCCCACGGTCCAGAAAAGTTCTCTTTTGTTTTGGTTAATACGCTTGAGGACTTTCTCACTCAAATATTGCAGAACATTTACATACAGTAGAGTTTTTCTGTGGCTGACAGGCTGTGTATTCTGCCCTGCTGTTACTGCCTGGGACTGTCACCTTGTCCCACCAGGGTGGACCTTGCTTTCTCCTTCACAGGGGTTTTCTGAATCACTCTTCCTCTGGGAGACCCTACTGAGGCCATGTGTCCAGAACTACATAGCTCTGCTTTAGGACCAGATCATTTTTAGTCTGTGTTTATTAGATCTACCTGAGAAAGTCCCGCATTAACATCAGTTAATCTCTGGATTACATAAACCTTCTGCGCATGTGATTTTCAGAGTCTTGATTGGCGTCACAGACCGCTCCTCTGCTGAAGATGTGTCCACCCTCCTCTCTTCCACGGGTGTTGACCTCCTGATCTCCCGGGTCCTTCATTCACGTGACACGGATGTCACGGAGCTCGCTCGCTCTATCCAGCACTTGTATTCGTCCCAGAGTCAGATGAATCTCGCCTGGAATCTGGGGGGGCGGCTCGAGGGTCACATGGCTTCACTGGTGGGCCCAGCTCTAGTTAAACTGCATCAGTTGCTGCTGCTGACATTGCCCGGGACGCCCATCTTCAGCTACGGAGATGAGATAGGTCTGATGGACGAGGTGAGGACATCTGTACAGTAAACTCTCAGGACTTCAGTATTTTAATAAGCTCGTGTTCTTTGCTTTAGCCTCATTGTAGTTACAGAGAAGCACAAAGCATGAATACATATGAATACATATTGTACTATTACTTGTATTTGTTGTGATATTAAGATTTTATTATTTCCACGAAAGGGCACCAAGTTTCCCAAGATGCTTTGGGACTCCAATGAGGAGCTGAATGGGACTCTGCAGGTAAGATTAGATTAGATGAAACCTCATTAATCCCTCGGGTGGGAAAGTCAGTTTCCAGTAGCACAGCATCGACAGAAGTTGTTACAGAGTTGAAATATTAAATAAAGGGGAATGAGAGTAAGGACATGAGCATAAATATACCATGCATACACATATATAAATACAGGTTATATACAGTGGGGCAAAAAAGTATTTAGTCAGCCACCGATTGTGCAAGTTCCCCCACTTAAAATGATGACAGAGGTCAGTAATTTGCACCAGAGGTACACTTCAACTGTGAGAGACAGAATGTGAAAAAAAAATCCAAGAATTCACATGGTAGGATTTGTAAAGAATTTATTGGTAAATCAGGGTGGAAAATAAGTATTTGGTCACCTCAAACAAGGAAAATCTCTGGCTCTCACAGACCTGTAACGTCTTCTGTAAGAAGCTTTTCTGTCCCCCACTCGTTACCTGTATGAATGGCACCTGTTTGAACTCATCATCTGTATAAAAGACACCTGTCCACAGCCTCAAACAGTCAGACTCCAAACTCCGCCATGGCCAAGACCAAAGAGCTTTCGAAGGACACCAGGAAAAGTATTGTAGACCTGCACCAGACTGGGAAGAGTGAATCTACAATAGGCAAGCAGCTTGGTGTGAAAAAATCAACTGTGGGAGCAATCATCAGAAAATGGAAGACATACAAGACCACTGATAATCTCCCTCGATCTGGGGCTCCACGCAAGATCTCATCCCGTGGGGTCAAAATGATCATGAGAACGGTGAGCAAAGATCCCAGAACCACACGGGGGGACCTGGTGAATGACCTGCAGAGAGCTGGGACCAAAGTAACAAAGGTCACCATCAGTAACACACTACAACGGCAGGGAATCAAATCCCGCAGTGCCAGACGTGTTCCGCTGCTGAAGCCAGTGCATGTCCAGGCCCGTCTGAAGTTTGCCAGAGAGCACATGGATGATACAGCAGAGGATTGGGAGAATGTCATGTGGTCAGATGAAACCAAAGTAGAACTTTTTGGTATAAACTCAACTCGTCGTGTTTGGAGGAAGAAGAATACTGAGTTGCATCCCAAGAACACCATACCTACTGTGAAGCATGGGGGTGGAAACATCATGCTATGGGGCTGTTTTTCTGCCAAGGGGACAGGACGACTGATCCGTGTTAAGGACAGAATGAATGGGGCCATGTATCGTGAGATTTTGAGCCAAAACCTCCTTCCATCAGTGAGAACTTTGAAGATGGAACGAGGCTGGGTCTTCCAACATGACAATGATCCAAAACACACCGCCCGGGCAACAAAGGAGTGGCTCCGTAAGAAGCATTTGAAAGTCCTGGAGTGGCCTAGCCAGTCTCCAGACCTCAACCCCATAGAAAATCTGTGGCGGGAGTTGAAAGTCCGTGTTGCTCGGCGACAGCCCCAAAACATCACTGCTCTCGAGAAGATCTGCATGGAGGAATGGGCCAAAATACCAGCTACTGTGTGTGCAAACCTGGTAAAGACCTATAGTAAACGTTTGACCTCTGTTATTGCCAACAAAGGTTATGTTACAAAGTATTGAGTTGTATTTTTGTTATTGACCAAATACTTATTTTCCACCCTGATTTACCAATAAATTCTTTACAAATCCTACCATGTGGATTCATGGATTTTTTTTTTCACATTCTGTCTCTCACAGTTGAAGTGTACCTCTGGTGCAAATTACTGACCTCTGTCATCATTTTAGGTGGGGGAACTTGCACAATCGGTGGCTGACTAAATACTTTTTTGCCCCACTGTAATAGGGATAAAACAAACAAACTCTCAGTACCAGACTGCAGAGGTGTGTTATTTGAGTTGATTGTGTGGGTGGAGCGTGCTTTGAATAATAGTATAGTATTACATGCTGGTAATACAGTCGACCTGGTGTGGTAGTGACAGTATCAGTATAACCTACTAAAGCTTGGTCCCTGTTTGAATGTGCATTCAGCCTGCATAAACAAACAGTTTATTAACATTTATCACTGGGGGTAAGTTTGATTTAGTTACTGTATAAGTAGTCATTCAAAGAGGAGGCTTCGCTTCAGACAGAAGTAAAACTGGACAAACGATGCTCAGCTCTCTCGCCTGTGATCTCAGAAACCACTTCGCTGGTGTCTTTAGACTTTAGTGTCACGTCTTATTGAATCCAGGGAATCCATCCATCCTAGAAGGGAAATTCTGGTTTCATGCTATCTTGTCATTGAGTCTTGGCATTGAGATGGCGCCAGTGTGTTCGGCAGGCCGTCTCCACTGCTCTCTGCTGCTTCTTACCTTTCTGCTAATATGCCATTCAGGTGGCTCTGCATTGCTAACTTATGACCGGCTTACTCTTCTAAGTCTCTGGCCACCAAAAATTTCAGTCGGGGTTTAAACTGCATTACTGAGAGTCTTTAATGATCTTCTCTCAATCGCTGACTCAGGGCGCCCTGTGGTGTTCATTTTGCTTGATTTGTCCTCTGCTTTTGATTTGGTGGACCATAATGTCCTTTTAATGAGGCTTGAGCATCTGGTGGGCATCACGGGCAGTGCCCTTAGCTGGTTTAAATCTCTCAGAAAGGCCCTTTTCTGTCACCATGGATACCTGCGCCTCCTCCATTGCCCCTGTTACCTCTGGTGTCCCCCAGGGGTCTGTGCTGGGTCCCATGCTGTTCTCTTTATACTTGTTACCCTTGGGCCAAATCTTTGATAAATACAATATTTCTTTCCACTTCTATGTGGATGACATTCAAATCTATTTTGAACTAGCTGAGGATCGTCGTTGCAACACTTCTTTGATTGTATGAATGAAGTTAAAATCTGGCTACTGAGCAATTCTCTCATTTTAAATGATAAGAAGACTGAAATTGTAGTCTTTGATACTCCCTCCTCTCGGGGTGAACTAACTGGTATTTTTGGGCCCTTTGCTGACTCCCTTTCTGACACTGTGAGGACCCTGGGTGTTGTCTTGGACAGTTCCTTCAAGTTGGACAAACATGTGTCCTCCGTAGTTAAATCGAGTTCAATCAACTACGTCTAATCTCTAAGGCCAAGCCCTACATACCACGTAAGGACCTGGAGAAACGTATCCATGCCTTTGTTACATTAAGGTTAGATTACTGTAATTCCCTTTACACTGGTCTCCATTCTGCCCTCGTTCACAAACTGCAGCTCGTTCAATATGCGGCTGCGCGTCTCTTAACTGGAACTGGCAGGTTTGAGTCTATTACTCCAGCTCTTTCTGACCTGCACTGGCTCCCTGTTAAATTTCGTATTGATTTTAAAATCTTATTGCTCACTTAAAATCATAAATAGCACCGCGCCCAGCTATCTTACGGATCTCCTCAGCTGTTATACCCCTGGGAGAGCGCTTAGATCAGGCCAAATACTCCTGGTGCGACCTAGATCTCGGCTCAAGACCAGAGGTGACCGCGCATTCGCCGCTGTCGCATCCTACCTCTGGAATAACCTCCCTCAAGGTGTCTGATTCAATTCAATCTTTTAAATCTCGATTAAAAACTTATTTGTTTAGCCTTGCTTCCCCCGCATTTCTGGTGTACTGTAAGTTATCTTTCTAGCTTTATTAATATTTATAATGTTTTAACCTTCAGCCTTTCGGGTTGTGCCTACTACACCTGGTGTATTATTGGTTAGTTATGTCACCTGCCTGCTAGTATATTTTATTTGTATTTTGTGTTTGTATTTATTATTGCTCTAACTCGTTCTGTGAAGCACTTTGGCATACCTGTGGTTTTTTAAATGTGCTATATGTATTGTATCTGTGTGCATGTGTGCATCAGATGATAACTTAGCACTACATCATGTAGGCTAAATATCATAACCTGTGACTCAAACAACCCAACAACATGGCATCCAAATGACTGTGGCTTCACAAGTCATAGCCAAAACCAATGGCAGATGGTAGTCATGGTGACCACAGATGTGATTATGAACACCTTCTCTGCAGGTTTGCTGTTATTGGCTGTAGTTGTTCGAGCAGGAGTATTGTAACCTAGCATCCTACCGATAACAGTTAATATCACATAGTGATTGTGTGCTCTCTCTGTGCAGGAGGAGCGGGCTGAGCGCCTGACCTGTCGCAGGTTTTTCAGCACTGTGAGTGAGCTGCGGGGTAAAGAGCGTTCCCTGCTGTTTGGAGACTTCATCCTCCTTTTTAACTCCTCCTCCTCCCTGGCTTACCTGCGGGTGTGGGATCAGAACGAGCGTTACCTCGCCGCCTTCAACTGGGCTGCAGAGGAGTCAGCGGTGCTGCAGCTGAGCCACACAGTGCTGCCCCCGACGGCTGTGGTTGTTCTCAGCACCAACAGCAGCACAATGCCTGCCGACAGCAGCGTGGATCTTACAAACCTGCGGCTTGGCCCCGGGGAAGCTGCGCTACTCAAGTTTCCCTACACGGGATAGAAAAGATACTAGCAGAGATTAGATGTTGATGAAAGTCTGAGAGACTGACATCATGGTGAGGTGAGGGGAAATATTGTTGTCTAATTACATACGACACATCATTTCAGATTCAGTGACTTAGTGATAACGACTAATGATATAATTTCATGTGAAAATAATATAAATGCTCTCAGAAGCTGAACAAAAAGGCTTTGTAAAATGTCCTGGTAGTTGCCTGTTTTTAACATGTCTTGCTAACAAATACGCTAATATTGAAGCATGCTTATATATTTGACACTTCCCAGAATCTGGTGTCTTACATTCATCCAGAATAAACATGCAGAAATATACTTCAGTGATCTGTGCTCATCACCTGTGATACTGCAAACGGATTCAGAACTGTGTTACTTAACCAGCAACAGTTAGAATAAATGTGGCCAATTATGGGCAAAGATGTGGTATTGTGTTCAGTTTAGTGACCTCCCTAAATCATGTCTCAACAAGGTCAAGCTTACTGGTTAGTAGCAAATGCTTCAGAGTGCTCTGCTGTATGATGTCATTTCTTCTTCTTGGATGTATTGGGTTATGTCTTATATGACACGTCACTTTTCCTTTCTGTATTGTGAATTCTAAGAAAACATGAAAAATAAAAATGAAAGAAAAGCACAGCATCCATGAGAGTCTGTCAGTTTTTGTAGTTTTAAGTTCCTCGTCTCCAGTTAAACCATTAAAGTCACATGCAGGCTTATATAGAGTGATGCTTGGTCTATTTAAAGGTCTTAAGCTTGGCGCGATGTCCAGGGGATCCATGGTGTAAGTGACCGAGAGCAACAGAAGGTTTAAGCATGCACGCTTACAAACATACATGATAGTATTCATTCTAGGCCAAAGGCCTGGGACACATTTAGCTTCTAATTGCATTTGAGTTTGCCTAGTAACAGGTGACAGAAGAAGAGTGAAGAAAAGTGTCAATCCTCAGGGACCCTCTGGAGGGTGAAACAGATTGGCATATATGGAAGAATGTGATAGAAGGAGGAACTTCTGTCTGCTTTCTAAATGAATATTTACTGTAACTGACATATATCACAATTATTGTAAACGCATGAAGGGGCGTGGTTGGTTTCATTGCTCAACATTTTCGAGTCTAAACTGCTCATTCTGAAAACTGGATCTGTATTACACAGACCTTACTTTTCATTAATGGTTTTCATGGAAACAATATGGAGACTCCACATACCAGAAACAAGTAAAATAATAAGAAAAAAATAAATGTCAAGACTCAGTATGGGTTAAATGCCAAGGTGTTTAAAGTGTTGACTCCAATTTTAAAAATGTTTACAGAGTCCTTTCAAAAAGGCACCATACCGCAGTCCCTGAGAGGAGCATTAGTCGCTCTGCTCCCGAACCACACAATAAATGTGAAAACTGGAGACCCATCAGTCTGCTTAATGCGGATTTGAAAATACTTTGTAAAATCTTAGCCAAGAGAAACAAAGAAATACTACCTAAGATAATTGGGAGAGTTCAGAATGGATTCATTCAGGACAGACAAGGATTCCACAACGTCCGAAGGATTCTGAAGCTTCTTTATGACCAAAAGGGGCTCGGGACACTGCTTTACTGTCACGAGATGCTGAAAAAGCATTCGACAGAGTGGAATGGCCTTATTTCTTTGAGACTCTGGGGTGCTTTGGTCTGGGAGAGAATTTTTGTAATTGGATAAGATTACTTTATAAGGAATCATATGCACAAAACTTGACTAACAATAATATCTCAAAAAGCATAAAAATAAATTGATGATTTAGAAAAGGGGACGTTTTGTCCACACTGTTGTTCATTATGGCAATCGAGCCTTTGGCTATCACAGTGAGATCCCATGATAGTACTTCTGGTGTAACAATAGGACAGAACATCGCTTAGCCTTTCATGCAGATGATTTAATTATTTTTCTTAAAAATATTAACAAATCCATCCCGGCTCTGCTAGAATTGATTAAGGAGTTTGGTAAAATTTCTGGTTACAAGATCAATATGTCTAAAACATCAATTATGTTAATAAACCAATTAGATATGGAAAACCCAACCTCTGTTGTTACTCAATTTAAGGTTGTTAATAATTAGCTTCACCTATTTCGGCATCCAAATTGTTCCTTTGCGTAATGATATCATAGAAATCAACTATAATTCAGTTATTCAAGATGTCTCAAACTCTCTGGATAGATGGACTGCTCTACCAATGTCATTAATGGGGAAAATAAATACTCTTAAAATAAATATACTCCCTAAACTGTTGTATTTATTTCAAAACTTGCCTCTGCCACCACCAAGCGATTTGTTTTCTCAACTGAGGACACTCTTCATCAAATTTTTATGGAAGAACAGATGCCCCATGCTGCGCCTATCTCTCTTCTATCTGCCTTACGACAGAGGAGGGCTTAAATACCCAAGCCCACTATGGTACTACTGGGCGGCGCAACTGAGAACACTAACATTTTACTATGTAGAAGAGAATGTGCCACTGTGCAGAGAGATGGAAGGGTATCCTGTGAAGTCCAACTTTAAAGATGTAGACTGTTGGTGAGGGCCTAGTTTGAAGATGCAGGCTGCTGGTGAGGGCCTAGTTTGAAGGAGGAGACTGTTGATGAGGTCCTAGTTTGAAGATGCAGGCTGTTGATGAGGTCCTAGTTTGAAGATGCAGGCTGTTGATGAGGTCCTAGTTTGAAGATGCAGGCTGTTGGTGAGGTCCTAGTTTGAAGATGCAGGCTGTTGGTGAGGTCCTAGTTTGAAGGAGGAGACTGTTGGTGAGGGCCTAGTTTGAAGGAGGAGACTGTTGGTGAGGGCCTAGTTTGAAGGAGGAGACTGTTGGTGAGGGCCTAGTTTGAAGGAGGAGACTGTTGGTGAGGGCCTAGTTTGAAGATGCAGGCTGCTGGTGAGGTCCTAGTTTGAAGATGCAGGCTGTTGGTGAGGGCCTAGTTTGAAGATGCAGGCTGTTGGTGAGGTCCTAGTTTGAAGATGCAGGCTGTTGGTGAGGGCCTAGTTTGAAGATGCAGGCTGTTGGTGAGGTCCTAGTTTGAAGATGCAGGCTACTGGTGAGGGCCTAGTTTGAAGATGCAGGCTGCTGGTGAGGGCCTAGTTTGAAGATGCAGGCTACTGGTGAGGGCCTAGTTTGAAGATGCAGGCTGCTGGTGAGGGCCTAGTTTGAAGATGCAGGCTGTTAGTGAGGGCCTAGTTTGAAGATGCAGGCTACTGGTGAGGGCCTAGTTTGAAGATGCAGGCTGTTGGTGAGGGCCTAGTTTGAAGATGCAGGCTTTTGGTGAGGTCCCAGTTTGAAGATGCAGGCTTTTGGTGAGGTCCTATTTTGAAGGAGGAGACTGTTGGTGAGGTCGTAGCTCAAAGGAGGAGACTGTTGGTGAGGGCCTAGTTTGAAGATGCAGGCTGTTGGTGAGGGCCCAGTTTGAAGATGCAGGCTGTTGGTGAGGTCCTATTTTGAAGGAGGAGACTGTTGGTGAGGTCGTAGCTCAAAGGAGGAGACTGTTGGTGAGGGCCTAGTTTGAAGATGCAGGCTGTTGGTGAGGGCCCAGTTTGAAGATGCAGGCTGTTGGTGAGGGCCCAGTTTGAAGATGCAGGCTTTTGGTGAGGTCCTATTTTGAAGGAGGAGACTGTTGGTGAGGTCCTAGTTTGAAGGAGGAGACTGTTGGTGAGGTCCTAGTTTGAAGGAGGAGACTGTTGGTGAGGGCCTAGTTTGAAGGAGGAGACTGTTGGTGAGGTCCTAGTTTGAAGGAGGAGACTGTTGGTGAGGGCCTAGTTTGAAGGAGGAGACTGTTGGTGAGGTCCTAGTTTGAAGATGCAGGCTGCTGGTGAGGTCCTAGTTTGAAGGAGGAGATTGTTGGTGAGGGCCTAGTTTGAAGGAGGAGACTGTTGGTGAGGTCCTAGTTTGAAGGAGGAGACGGTTGGTGAGGGCCTAGTTTGAAGGAGGAGACTGTTGGTGAGGTCCTAGCTCAAAGGAGGAGACTGTTGGTGAGGGCCTAGTTTGAAGGAGGAGACTGTTGGTGAGGTCCTAGCTCAAAGGAGGAGACTGTTGGTGAGGGCCTAGTTTGAAGATGCAGGCTGCTGGTGAGGTCCTAGTTTGAAGATGCAGGCTGCTGGTGAGGTCCTAGTTTGAAAATGCAGGCTGCTGGTGAGGTCCTAGTTTGAAGATGCAGGCTGTTGGTGAGGTCCTAGTTTGAAGATGCAGGCTGCTGGTGAGGTCCTAGTTTGAAAATGCAGGCTGTTGGTGAGGTCCTAGTTTGAAGATGCAGGCTGCTGGTGAGGTCCTAGTTTGAAGATGCAGGCTGCTGGTGAGGTCCTAGTTTGAAGATGCAGGCTGCTGGTGAGGTCCTAGTTTGAAGATGCAGGCTGCTGGTGAGGTCCTAGTTTGAAGATGCAGGCTGCTGGTGAGGTCCTAGTTTGAAGATGCAGGCTTTTGGTGAGGTCCCAGTTTGAAGATGCAGGCTGTTGGTGAGGTCCTAGTTTGAAGATGCAGACTCTTGGTGGGGTCCTAGTTTGAAGATGCAGGCTGTTGGTGAGGTCCTAGTTTGAAGGAGGAGACTGTTGGTGAGGTCGTAGCTCAAAGGAGGAGATTGTTGGTGAGGGCCTAGTTTGAAGATGCAGACTGTTGGTGAGGTCCTAGTTTGAAGATGCAGGCTTTTGGTGAGGTCCTATTTTGAAGGAGGAGACTGTTGGTGAGGGCCTAGTTTGAAGGAGGAGACTGTTGGTGGGGTCCTAGTTTGAAGATGCAGACTCTTGGTGGGGTCCTAGTTTGAAGATGCAGGCTGTTGGTGAGGTCCTAGTTTGAAGGAGGAGACTGTTGGTGAGGGCCTAGTTTGAAGGAGGAGACTGTTGGTGAGGTCCTAGTTTGAAGGAGGAGACGGTTGGTGAGGGCCTAGTTTGAAGGAGGAGACTGTTGGTGAGGTCCTAGCTCAAAGGAGACTGTTGGTGAGGGCCTAGTTTGAAGGAGGAGACTGTTGGTGAGGGCCTAGTTTGAAGGAGGAGACTGTTGGTGAGGTCCTAGCTCAAAGGAG